TAGTTGTGACTACCTTATCTTGCGATCTAGCTTCCTTGTGTATATAGAACCTTTGAAAAGGGTTGCAGACAACATTTTGTGTCAAAAATGCAGGATCTATGCTGCTAACATGTATATATGTTAAGATCATATTATGTCAATGTTAACATATTTGCACTGGTTTACAATAGTTTTTTAAATACAATTAAAGTGTTGCTGTAACTTTTATAGCATAGGAACGCAACAAAAGACTGCTTCTGATCCCCTTGATGACTAGGTCTCCTGAAATGGTCCTGTTGCCTCCTCTGTTTATGTCATTGCTTTTTTGTATGTTTTTACAGCGTAGGTATATGGGAGAATATTAGTATGAGATAATAGATGTTTAAATTGTTTTTTTTTTCTCACTTCCCTCTCTCTCTCTTTTTTAGAGATTTATCAGAAGATAAAAGGAGACACATTTGCTGTATTTTGTAACATCTTCCAAATTCTCCAGGACTCTTCAAAGATAATTGACAAAGGTCTCAATAGTTCTTCAGCAAATCTCTTCTGCATACCAGGGTGTATCTCTTCAGGACTGGAGACTTAGTCAGTTATAATTAGCTGGAAGACCCTTTCCCACATCCTTATTGAGCTCTACACTGCACAGCTGGGTTGATTTCCAGTCTGTGCTATGGAATCACCTTTTGTTTTGATGAGAATTTTGAAGAGAATTTGAGTTTCTCTCTTTTTTCTTGATTACCTGTCAAGATTTCTCCATTCGATCACCACTTGCATTTTGTTCCTCTTGCTGTTTATTTATTATTTATTAATTCAATTTGTATGCTGCCCCTCTCTGAAGACTCAGGGCGGCTCACAATGCATTTAAAATCATTATAAAAAACATTTAAGAATTAAAAACATTAAAAACATTAAAAACTCATTCACACCATTCATGGCTGAATCTCACCGGATTGCAAGAGCGAGATCAACGGCCCCAGGCTTGCCGGAAAAGCCAGGTCTTCACCGCTTTTCGGAAGGCCAATAGGGTGGGCATGGTCCGGACCTCAGGAGGTAACTGGTTCCAGAGAACTGGGACAGCCACAGAGAAGGCCCTTCCCCGCGGGCCCGCCAGCCGGCATTGTTTAGCTGACGGGACCCAGAGGAGACCAACTCTGTGGGATCTTACCGGTCATTGAGAGTTATGCGGTAGAAGGCAGTCTCGAAGATACCCTGGCCCTGAGCGACAGCTTGCACGGCTGCATTCTGGACCAACATTCTGTTGACATATTTGAAGACATTTTGTTTTTGCGAGATTTGCTTTCCTTGTTAGACTTAGCTCATTTTCTACCTTTCCATTCCCACATTTCTGTAGGAATGTGTTGCAAAGAAAAAATAGAAAAGAAAAAAATAAGAATAAAGAAAAAGTAAATAAATATATAAATGTCTTTCCCCTTCACCACAAGAAGTGTAAATAATTTTAATACCTTACCATCTTTTCAAAGCTGCGCTGAAAACATTTGCAAATTGAGAAGCCGAATAAAAATGTCAGATACGTTTATGGATTTATTGTTCAGTATTATTATCTAATTCACTAATGGACATTTTCATAAACAGGAGTTTTTCAAATTGATTCCAAAAAATCAACTACAGCAACCTTGGAATTAGAACACATGGAAAATTTTAGGTAAACAAATCTGGAAGATATTGTGATTGCTCTTTGATATCAGTTTAACTACCTCTGTTCTGAATAGTACAAGGTATCTTGACCAGGAACCAGCAAAGTATGCAGTCTTGGTGGTACAAGAAAGAACTCCTATTTCCCAGGAACAAATACACAACTTAAAACAACTTCATTGTTTTGCACAATGAAATCTTGATATAGTTCCTTAACTACTATCGCACCCAGAGAACAGAGAACAGAGATTTGATTACATTTACAACTTCATAGGAATATTATTATCTTGTGCTGCTTGATCCAAGAAATTATGCATGCTGTAAACCTGTTCTGAGGGTGCCTTGAATTTTAAAGGTGATGGAATGTAAAGTACTTTTGAGAATTTTCTCCAGGGAAAAGAAGGGTCATGCTTAAAACCAAGAGTCCTTCTGACTAATTAGGCTCAATTGGTGATAATGAGTCCTACCTGTGGGCATTTGGAGCCAAGGAACAAAAAGATTCCTCCTTTAAGATGAAATTTGATTTAAAAAATGGAACTTTAGATATTTGAACATTGTATAGAAAATTAACATGACTGGGAATGAGATAAGACAAGAGTCCAGAGAAAAAGTGGTTTAACTCTTTGGAGAACCAAGAATAAATACAAGTAGTGACTGATTGATGGACATTTGTCTGAAAAAGATCCTTTGTTTCAATTATTTATATCTTTACTAGGTAAGGACATGAATATAAATCTGAAATAATGATTGATTTTATTGTTTATGATGAAATATTGAGAGAACTAACAAAGGTACATGGGTGATGGAATGGTTTCCCCATATTTGGGAACTGGATTAAAAACAAAGGAATGAAAGTTAGTAATGTAAAAATAGAATGATTGATGCGGAAAAGGTAGTAATCTTATACAAAAAAAATTAAAATATATATTACTTTTTTTCCAATCAGTAGTAAACCAAAGGAAAGAGCACATCGATGTTACTTGGAACATATTGAATAGAGTTATGCTAGAGAATATGTGTGGTATTACCCTTAATGAAAAATATGAAGAGGGATGCTTAATCGAGTGATGCAATGAAGAAGTAAAAAAGGCATATAACAGAATTATTGCTTTAAAAAATCAGGATGGATAAAATACACTACAAAAATTGTACTGTATAGAGCCGTGATGGCGAACCAGTGGCACGCATGCCACAGGTGGCACGTGGAGCCATATCGGTGGGCATGTGAGCTCAGCTCCAGTGTGCATGGATGCGCTGGCCAGCTGATTTTCGGGCCATCTGGGCCCACTGGAAGTAGGGAAACAGGCTGTTTCCAGCCTTGGGTGTGTGTGGGGAAAGCCATTTTTGCCTTTCTCAGGCTCCTAAAAAGGCTCTGGAGGCTGGGGAAGAGCAAAAAACAGGCCTTCCGGTCCCACTGGAAGTTGGCAAATGGGCCATTTCCGGCCTCCAGAGGGCCTCCGAGGGTGGGAAAGGCCATTTTCGCCCATCCCAAGCTCCTAGAAAGGCTCTGGGGCCTGGGGAGAGAGAGAAATGGGCCCATCATGCCATCATGCCAGGAGTGGTGGGGTCATGTGCTCATGCGCGGGGCGGGGTGCATAAAATTATGGCTGTGGGCACGCATGCATGTAAACCCCCTCCCCTCCCGCTCCTGGCACGCGATGGCAGAAAGGTTAGCCATCACTGATATAGAGCATATAGGCAAAAAGATAGAATAAAATCAAAGTGGGGGGGAAACAGTTAAGAGTAAGAGAGGTTAGTTTGAACTGCGGAAAATACAATTGCAACAGCCTGCCTTCCATTGAGGACCTGTATATTATACAGGTCAGAAAGAGGACTGAGAAAATAGCTACAGACCCCTCACATCCTAGACATAAACTGTTTCAACTCCTCAACTCAGGAAGCCATTATAGGGCATTGCATGCCAAAACAACTAGACACAAGGACAGTTTTTTTTCTGCCATCATTCTGCTGAAAAACCTAATTCCCACAGCATTGTTTTATATCTAAGTTTATTTACCCATGTTGTATAGGATATTATTATCCTTCTTATCTTCTCTATTACCCTCTCTTATTGGTATCATATTTATTTATTTATTTATTTATTTATTTATTTATTTTATTTTATTTTATTTTATTTATGTAATTTATATGCCACCCTTCTCCCGTAGGACTCAGGGTGGCTTACAAAAACAAAACAAAGAATTACATAAACAATTAAAAGCAGTTTAAAATTCAATTAAAGTCAATTAAAAATTATTAAAATTATTTGAAGTCACCCATACATATTATGGTTATTATCACTCTGTTGCTTTGCATATACGTTGAAAGCTTCTGCACAGAGACAAATTTCTTGTGTGTCTAATCATACTTGGCCAAATAAAGTATTCTATTCTATTCTTTTTCAATTAAGCAGAATTGCTGGATTTATACTAAAATGTGATTCAAGATAAAGTGCACAACTTCCACTACTGGCTATAATTGTTTCAATTAAGCTATTGAATGACTATTGTAAAATGAATGAAATTATATGCTTTTTTTAAATAAACAATTATTTTAGTTTTCTGGAATTATTGCCATATTCATTCTGCAGTGATTCATAGTATATATGAATGAAATCCAATTTCAAATACAGCATTACAATTTTGGAATCATAAGAAAAGTTGACCCCTTTTATTAGTTACAGTTGGAAAATTGGGTCTATTTTCCCTGAAGCTAATCAAGAGAATGGAAATTTACGTTACAGCCAAGCTCTAAATCTTAGACAGTAGATTTTAGCAAGAAATAAAAAATGTTCCTCTTGTCTTTAATTCCGGCACTATGAAATTACTCCTATCTAATAATAGTACCTGAATTGCTCTCAAGTTGCCAACTCAGAAAGAACCCAGCAGGAACTAACAAAAGCAGACAATTGGAAGACTGAATCTTTTCTTACCTTTCCTTCCCTAACAATGCCAGTTTATATCCTATTTTAGGGTTCCTAGTTATGGATGCCTTTTTCTATTAAGCAAGGAGACTACACAAAATCATAAATACAAATTTTGCTAACACTCTCATTTTTAAGAAGTAGAAATCATTCACTTCTTCATTAATTGCTTTATCCACACTGTATTTACATTTTTTTTTTTTACATTTAAGCTATTTTAATATAAATAAATATAATTTAACAACCAGCTGCCGGAACAGAGAAAGATATCAGTTCAATAAACAGGACAAATTATAATGTAATAAAAGATGAACAGAATATCATAAAAGCTTGACTGTGTGATATCAAAGAAAAGAACAAATTAATGTCTTAGAAGAAGACGGGGCCGCTGTCAGGGTTCCAAGGAACACCCTCAACAAAATAAAGCTCTGATGCCTGAGGTTCCTCAAAGTTCCAATTTATTAGAGATGTCATGTTGGCACATTTGGGAAAACCCGAATCTGAAAGCTTCCAGGTTTTCCCAATCCAACTAAAGTTCACAGCCCTGCCCCACACCCACAGGTTCATCACATTGTCCAATCAACTCTTCACACTCCACCAGATACAATCTTCAGGCAGTCTCCATCAGATGCAGGCAAAAATCCTTGAATACGGAATGTTGTTATGACTAACTTTCTACCGCTCCAACAACCACCCCCTCCCAACTTCCCCAGCTAAAATATGTGGCAGTTTAGAAGCAAAAAGAAAATTGTCTTCCAAAACTGACAGCCGCAATTGTGATATCACAAATAATGCCCTCTATTATGTCGGTCTGTATTATTTTTAACTGCAGATTGCAAAGCCCAGCTTCTGAGACATCATATGACCACATGGACATGTTCTTTTCGCTTTCCTGGGAACAGAATGAAAGTTGTTTGCCACTGTCTTCTTCTGGGAAGTTTTCATACAGTTTCACAGTCCAGCTTGGAGCATTGGTGATATTCAGTACCATCTCCAGCCCTGTAATGGAAACATCCAAGTTTCAGAATGTTCAGAGTTTTATATAGCTCCTTCTACATTTAACTGAATCTGTAAACAAGCCAATAGTCAATACAATTTAAATAAGGCCATGATCAATAAATGACACCACAGAAAGATATCATGGCATTTCTTGGGCAGTGTACCCTAGTAGTTAAAACTTTTGGAAACTTTTCAAAAGAAGCTGCCCATAGAATATATTATTTAATCTATCTGGAAATAGATTTGCTATGCGTTTCTGAAAGTATGCCTCATTGAACTCAGTTTATCTCTAAAACCAAATAAGTAGCAATGCCTTTATTTGGCAGATTTGGTGTTCATTTAATCATATTTAAAATTTATTACAAAGCATAAATCAGTATAAATGGTATCAAACTGTACAGCAATCATAGAAATATTAATAATTCTCCAAATGCAAGATGCCTTTGTAGGGGAGGCAGTTTGGCTTGCATCATATAGAACAAAGCAAAATCAATAGATTTTTTAAAATGTTTGTATCTTTTCAACAAAGCAAAGCCTCTGAACAAATTGCCCACCTCCAAAATAATGTTTATTGCTTTTTATATTGAAAATCTAGGCACTGGTCCCCAAGTCAACTCCAAGGAAATTAAATTTCTGCAAAATTTCAAATTAAATAATTTATAGGAGCTTGGTGGCGCAGCAGACTAAACTACTGTTAAAAGTAGCATTTAGCTGCCAGTTGCCTGCAATTACTGCAAGTTCAATTTTCACCAGGCTCAAGGTTGACTCAGCCTTTCATCCTTTCAAGGTAGGTAAAATGAGGACCCGGTTTGTGGGGGCAATAAGCTGACTTTGTATAAAATAGAACACCGCTTGGGGGGGGCGGCCAAAAAAAAGCCCTACTAAGCAGGTATATACAAAAGTATGAAGGCTATTGCTTAATGAATTGTAAGCCTCCCTGAGTCTCTGGAGAAGGGCAGCATATAAATCAAACTAATAAAAATAAATAAATAAATAAATAAATAAATAAATAAATAAATAAATAAATTCCAGATGCTAACACATTGGTGGAATTGAACAGATATGCAAGACAAAATGAGAGGATTGTAGGAGTAAAGATTTAAAAAATTAAAATTATAAAATAAGGGCTTTTGTAGATGATTGCTGTTGGTTTTGGAAGATCCTTTAAAGCAGAGGTGTCAAACTCGATTTCATTGAGGGCTGCATCTGGGTTGTGTTTGACCTTGAAGGGCTGGGGGGGAGTGTGGCGATGGGGGGGGGTGGTGTTAGCTCTGTTTTCACTGACAGAGGCCGTTGTTGCTAAAAATGGGGCAAGGGGGGCACACGCAGCATCCCCGAGCTCTGTTTTCACTGGCAGAGGCACTGTGGGCTGGTCCTTTGCTGTTTCCAGGCTGGCACCATGGGCCGGATCTAAGCACCCCGCAGGCCAGATGCGGCCCACAGGCCTTGAATTTGACACCCCTGCTTTAAAGGGAATTAAAACAATAATGAACAAATTAAAAGAATTTGATACATTAGCAGTTTTAAGATTAATAAACAGAAGACAAGGATGCTAACAACAATATGAAAATAGAAGATAAAACAGAACTGTTGAATAAAACAGGTTTTAAAATTGAGAAGATGGTAAAATACTGGGTATAATTATAACCAGTATAAACTCTCTTATTCTACAATAATTATGTTTATGGAATAAAGTTTAAAAAGAAATTATAACTGTCATTATGGGGGAGAAATTCTGTGATAAAAATGAATTTTTGTTCCAGGCAATACTTGTTTTGACAACTGATGTACCATTGAAACAGTGGCAGAAGGATACATCTAAATTTTTAGAGCAGGAAAAACAGTGACAAAGTAAAATAAAATCAAGAGAAGAACTGGTGTCAGACGGATATAATTGTCAATAGCTCTCATATTTACAATTCTTAGAGAGATTTGAAATAGACAAAAGTATTTATGGATTTTAACATTCTACGAATGAGTTTATAATATTTAAAGGGTGAGTATAATAAAAATACATAAAAAGTGCTTAAAAATAAATGAAAAAATAAATAGAAAAAAACCAAAATATGAAGTATTATATGTCATTAAAGTAAACAGTTGAAATTCTATATATAATTATCTAATGCAAACATTTTGTTAAACACACACTCACACGCATATATTCATTTTAACACACTTATATAGCTATCATGCTTTTTTAACATACTGTATTTTGTATATTGTATTTTTATATGAGTCCAGTATTTCATTATATTTCTCCATGCAAAGCCTTCATCTATAGGCAATCTACTCATAAGTAGCAAGTGAAATCAAGTTTCAATTCACTGAGTAAATGGAGCTATATATTTATCTTTCTAATGTTGCACTATCAGTCTTTTAATTATATTAAAGACACAGAGATTTGTATCTTTTTTGTTATTATGTTAAAAAGCAATAACATTATAAAAATGTTTGGTGAATGTGTAAAAAAGCTAGAAAATTCTGGATTCAAGTACATCACTGATTAAGTGGTTCTAAAAAACTAGCAATAGCAATAACACCCAGACTTATATACTGCTCCAAAGTGCTTTAAAGCACTGTCTGAGTGGTTTTCAAAGCCACTATATTTACCCCAACAATCTGGGTACTCATTTTACCGACCTTGACAGGATGGAAGGCTGAGCCAACCATGAGCCCATCAGGATTGACCTCTAGCCTGTGGGCAATGTTAGCTTGCAACACTATATTCTAACCACTGTGCCTCCAGTGGTTAAATTAGTATACAATTTAACCAGAGATTTTCTTTTTTGGGACTGGTGGACAAACAGTTACAAAAAAGTCATAGAAATTTGGTTTTGTTTTTTTTTAATGACAAATGTGGTGAAATTACTGTATGCAGAAAGATGGAATCATTTGGCGAAATGGTTGGCAAAGATGATGGAACGTGCTAAATTAATTTCATTGATTAGAGAAAAGATAATATCTATCTTTATTACTGACTGGAAATTTCTTCTACATCTTTTGCATGAAACAGAAAAAAATAAATTTATTATTTATCATTTTGATAATTGAACAGAATAGATTAAAAAAGAAAAGAGATTTGTTGAACTGTAGAATAAGAGGTAAATTTAGTGTATTTATAATTGCTGTAAAAAAGAACAGAAACTAGTCTAGAATATCCTAGTCTTTGAGGTTATGATGAAATTGATCGTTAAAATTATTTTTATACTCCATTCCTTACAAACCTTCACACAATTGCAGTAACATGACATTTATGCCATTTTTAAAAATATTATTTAAATTTAATGTTAAGGTTATGTAGACAATTATTGGATGTTGTCTTTACTGCATGTAGGACCAGAAATAAGCTGTCATTGGAACTATATATTAAGAAGAAAGAGCTTAGAACCAAACAAATACAGTTGGAGAATTTATTCAACTGTAATGTTTATTTTTAATATGTGAAGAGGCCTTTTGCTCTGAATTTCATAATTATCACCAATGTGTTTGACAAACACATGTTTTTAATTTCCACCTACAGAAACTTTATTTTCCATTTTTCAGATCAGATGCTGAAATGAAGGAAGCATTCTTGGAATATATAAGTAGGAGATATATATATAAGTAGGAGATTCATTTCTCCTACTTTTTACTGTGGAACATTTTGGTTGCTGAAATTGACATGATTTTGGACAATAGAACCAGAAATGGATTGACAAAAAATAAGATGACTCCTGAGCAATGAAAAACAAAAGCTGTCTTTGTTTAGGGGGTAAGGGTAAGCCTCTGTATCACTGAAAAGCCTCTGTATCACTAATGCTTTGAGGGTTTGTTATTGAAAGGACACCATATTTCTTCAAGCCCAAATAACAGTTCTCAGGTGGCACTATAAATGTGCATACCGAAATGCTGCAGGTTCATTAAGAATGATGTGTCATTCAGAAACAAAAACCACAATGGATTCCATAGCAAGATTCAAATTTGTGGCTCAATTACAATTTGAGCAGAAGGGAGTGGTTGTTTAAAAAACTCTTCCTTCAATCACATGGAAGTGAGTCACTGGACAAAGAGGTCCTACCTAATCCTGCAACCCTTCTTTTCTTCCATATGTTGTAAAAGAGCAATTTATACCCAAACTTCCTAGTTAGAAAAATTTGTCTATCCACTTCAACACAAAGGCAGGATTAAGCCTGTAGATTATCATAGCTTTTCATTTTTCATTCAGATTGATACCAATAATTTTCATCAAAAAGTCATAAAGATAATTTTCTTCAGATTCTTTTATGTACTACAAAAATATACTGTGATCTTTGACATTGTAGAGGGACATAGCATTAGTCTTTAAAAATGAAGATGAATCTATCTTCTAAAGCGACCTGTTCAACTTCTGGAATGTCTAAAGGTAAAAGTTCCCTTCGCACATATGTGCTAGTTGTTCCCAACTCTAGGGGGAGGTGCTCATCTCTGTTTCAAAGCCTCAGAGCCAGCGCTGTCTGAAGACCTCTCTGTAATCATGTGGCCAGCATGACTAAATGCCAAAGGCGCATGGAACGCTGTTACCTTCCCACCAAAGATGGTCCCTATTTTTCTACTTGCATTTTTTTTTTTACGTACTTTCAAACTGCTAGTTTGGCAGAAGCAGGGACAAGGAACAGGAGCTCACCCCATTACGCGGCACTAAGGTTTCGAACCGCTGAACTGCTGAATTTTCAATTGACAAGCTCAGCATCTTAGCCACTGAGCGTCCCTTCCACTTGGTGCTTATTTGAATTTATTATTTTGGTAATATATATAACAGAAAACCATTATTCAGCTTCCTGACAGCTTTGCAAATATTTGAGGAAGCTATTCTTTAACTTTTTTTAACCAAACCGCTTCAAACTTTTCATAGAGCAGGTCTTCAGTATAATCAGGTATTTGGTGTGCTGTTGACAATCTCATAAAGCTGTTAAATGAGGCTCATGGAACCTCAGAATTAAATTAGTATTTTAAAATATTTTTTAAAGTTAGAATCAGTATAT